TACAGTACAATATAAGGTGTCCTTTGGTCCCCCTACTGATATACAATATACGGCGACCCCTGTTCCCCCTAATGATATACAATATAAGATAACCTCCGGTCCCCCTACTGATGACAATATAAGCTGACCTCTGGTCCCCCTACTGATGTACAATATAAGGTGTCCTCTGGTCCCCCTACTGATGCACAATATAAGGTGACTTCTGGTCCCCCTACTGATGTACAATATAAGGTGTCCCCTGTCCCCCCTTATGATGTTCAATATAAGGTGACCTCTGGTCCCCCTACTGATGTACAATATAAGGTGACCTCTGGTCCCTCTACCGATGTACAATATAAGATCACCTCTGGTCCCCCTACTGCTACACTATATAAGATAACCTTGGCCCCGCCCCACTGATGTAAAGTGCAATATAAGGTGACCTCTGGTTCCTCTACTGATGTACAATGTAAGGTGTCCTCTGGTACCCCTACTAAAGTACAATATAAGGTGTCCTCTGGTCCCTCTACTGATGTACAATATAAGATCACCTCTGGTCCCCCTACTGCTACACTATATAAGATAACCTTGGTCCCGCCCCACTGATGTAAAGTGCAATATAAGGTGTCCTCTGGTCCCCCTACTGATGTGAAATATAGGATAACCTTGGTCCCCCCACTGATGTAAAGTGCAATATAAAGTGCCCTCTGGCCCCCCTACTGATGTACAATATAAGGTGTCCTCTGGTTCCCCTACTGATGTACAATACAAGGTGACCTCTGGTCCTGCTAATGATGTACAATATAAGGTGTCCTCTGGTCCCCCTACTGATGTACAATATAAGGTGTCCTCTGGTCCCCTACTGATGTACAGTACAATATAAGGTGTCCTCTGGTCCCCCTATTAATATTCAATAGAAGGTGACCTCTGGTCCACCTACTGGTATACAATATAAGATGACCTCTGGTCCCCCTACTGATATACAATATCAGGTGACCCCTGGTCCCCCTACTGATATACAATACAAGATAACATCTGGTCCCCCTACTGATGTACAATATTAGGTGTCCTCTGGTCCCCCTACTGATGTTCAATATAAGGTGTCCCCTGGTCCCCCTAATGATGTTCAATATAAGGTATCCTCTGGTCCCCCTAGTGATGTTCAAAATAAGGTGACCAAAAGTAAATAACAATTGGTGCATTTTTTAAAGTTGAAGCATGACCTCATAAGGAAGAGAAAGGAGACATTAAATAATTTATTAACAAATAATTATTCCATTATGTTAAAGGATTGGTGAAAAGTTCAAGCGAAATGAAAAGGTAGGGGGTGGTAGGGGGGAAGATATTCATCCTCCCCCTGCTTGTTAGAGATCTGCGAATGCAGAGACTGGACGTCGTTTACTCTGAGTCGCTTACTATTAGTAAGGAGATCAGAGGTTCGGCACTGTGTTATAATTATAAATACTATAACCTTACATGGAATAATAAAATCATAGGGGAGACCACAGGGCACCCAACTTAATCCATAAATGTTAGACTCTTATATAACATATATCTTATAATATTGCAGCTAATGTTGCTCGTGCAGCAACCCTCCCCCTCTTTCTTTTCTAATATGTATATACCCATCAGATGGTTATTCCTTTGACAAAAATAAATTTTCTGGGTTTTTTTTACACTGTAAAGTCTTCACAGTATTACGATTTATTCTACTTTCACTTTACGTATGCAACGCACTACATTTTGTAGCGGAGTAAACAGGCCCGATAGTCGTGAACTGAGCGGGGGACCTAAGGTCCTAGTTGAGCGTACGTTTTATCCTTCTGCAGTTTAAATCCAACGCGTTGATAATGTTATCAGCTAAACTTCATGCTGACTTCAAATTTCGTCACAGGGCCCGATCGCCATCAGCTGATGTCACGGAAATTTAATCTCGACACCAAATGCTCCTATACATAAAATTTTAAAATACAACAATAAATTTATTTCATTGACAAACAAAATCAGATAAAAATTAAAAACCGAAAGATTATGTTGTTTTGATAGTCTTGATTTTATTTAACATATGTTATATGTGTTAGAAACAAATCATTGGTAGAGGCTTTGTTGAAGTTTCTGTTGTCGATAGGTAGCGCCTTATGGAGGTTTCCGGTTGCCGACACATGCCATATAGCGGCTAGCGAAGCTAACCGCTTAAAAAGCAAGCAGTTTAGCCTAATGCTTCTTTACTTTCGTATTTGATTATTTGATAGTGATATCAATCCACACGTTGCCAAGATTGTTTGTCATATATCCAGACTGGTGTAAACTCAAACAAAAACAATGACTTTGATATATATTTAAATATCAATTAGCAGATCCTTTATCAAAACTATTGTCCATATTTATTCAGAAATGTAAATTAATTAGGTTTACAATTCAGTAGCAAACCTAATTGCTCATTGACTAAATTGACCTCTGACGTAAGCACTGTGATTGGAAATCCGTGCTTTTCCCCCAATTAGATACTATTTGTAGATCGATATCGAAACAGGAAGATTTACTTCGGTATCCAACTATGGAACCCTTAGAGTGGAGTGTCATCAAGGAATTCAAAGATGTTTTAAAAGGAAAAGTGCTTTTCTCAAACACCGTTTTAAAGTCGTTGCAGTCGCATTGGTACCTTACCAAAAAAGAGAAAGCCCAGTTTCAGGCCAGTTATTTTGTGCATTCTTGATCAAAATTGACATAATAGTCATCATATGCATGCATCTTATATTATTATATATTTTTAATACTTTCAACATTGTTTTTTCTTGTACTTGCAGGTCAAAACTTTAAATCGATGTGCATTATTAGAGATTTTGCACCACAAACATAGAGGATTTGAGTGCTTGATGAATGCTCTTTTAAAAGAAAAGAGATCAAATGAACATTTCGTTAATAAGATGAAAGAGGCATTGAAGAAGAAAGAAAAGAAAGAGAAATCAAATGAAAATAAAAAGCAACAACAAATTCCCTCAGCTATTGAGGGCAGCCAAATCTATCCAGGCTTGACAAAGTTAGTCAAAGGTATTCCGGACAATGTAAAATTTGAAGAAGAAAATCTTCAAACTCTAACTGAAGACCTTGAAATATTAAGGAAGACGATGGATCCAGAAGAGAAGATGAGCAATTTGTCACTATATCAACTACATCTTGAAGTGATGAAAAGTCATGTAAATGCTCACGTAGATAAAATAAAAAATCTTAGACTTAGAATTAAGCAACAAAAGGCAGATGTCAAAGGATATGACTCTTATACTTATGAGGAAGAAAAACGAAGTCTTTTGCGAGAACGAGACGACCTCAAAGAAACAATTCGGGAAATGAAAAAAGAGGAAGAAAGAGCCAGGAGAAGGGAAGCTTTAATGAACATTGACACAGAATGTTCTACAGATCCGGCAGGTGGAAATTCCATAAACGTCTACAATATTAAAGCAGAAAACGTTAATATTAACAATTGACAAGTTATAAATTTGAGTACCTGATATTACTGGACAAATAACCAAGTACTGGCTTCAACATAATGTTTTTGGGGACTGATGAAGTTTTAGAAGTCTTTTTTTGTAAATATAAAAGCCAGTGTTAAATAGGAAGGCCTATTATAGGTTTTGCTTCGATCCTTACTTAAGGTCAGACAACACGTTCCTCTAACATATGTTTCGTATTTCGTGGCATTATTTTGCTTCATTGTTTTCAGTATGTTTTGTGAATAAAAGTACACCAAATATTGCGATAAAGGTCATTCAAAAAATAACTCTTTAAGATTATTTAAGAAATATCCCCCTCTGGTATCTTGTCCATATGCATGGTAAGGTACCCTAATTTTTGTGAGGAAACTTGTTTAAGTACCTATACTTCAATGACAAATTCTTAGGAAAAATTATATATTTTTGAGGAACGTGTCGTATGACCTTAACCTTGTTTGAAAAACATTTTTGGATATATAGAGAGTGGTGTCAAAAATAGCTCTTTTGGGTTCAATTGTTAAAAAATACACATGTTCTCGCTTCTTAATTGTATTCTAATTTCAAACATTATGATTTTTTTACTCCTAAGTGATACAACTTTTTAGTTACTTATTTTCTGATTTTGGAATGTAAATGTAGTTCAGATAAAGAAATTTAAACATAATGAGATTAAGAGATCAAAAGATATCATAGTGAATTAAATAATTTCAAACTGATTTTAATGAGAGACTAATTTTGTAAAAAATGTATATTGAAATTTTTTTTTTTAAAGTTTTTTTTAAATGTTAATTTTGGACGGAAAAGGATATTTACTTTGATATGAGGATGTTAAATTCCCCATCTTTTGTTATATGATGTTTTTTGTTTATTTTATCATTGGTTGCATTTACCTTTACATATTATCTATCATATACATGTATGAATAAATAGCATTCACATACAGCAAACCGAAAACATGATTTGCTTACAGAAGTCTCTTATTTGCGTTTCCCTGATAAAATCATTTTTTTATGAAAATATGTTCACCATTTTTATTTGTCATTTACATATGTATTTTTTTGGGTTTTGAAAAAAAAGCCTTCAAAGGAAAACATAGTTTAACCGCATCATTAGATCATTTTGTTCCGGTAGTGATGAAGTAACAATATTGGTCAAAACTATTTTGTAGAAAGTGTAATATACATGAAAGATTGTATTTAAAAAGTTGACCTTTAGAACAAACTTTCTTCCAATTTTCTTTATTTTTTAAATCATTTTATATACAGACAGCAACTATGTAATATTCAATTGTTATATAGAAATTCAATATGTGTTTTGAAATTAGAACAATAATGCATGTTAGAAATGTTGAATTGTACCTTTTCAAAGATGAATTCTTTCGCCCATGACAATTGTAGGCATGATGCCAAGGACAAATATAAGAAAGTATTAAATGAATATTGATAAAATATTTGATAAAACTTGATCAACACAATCAGACAAAAAAATGGTTTGTCTGATTCTCTATCAAAATGACAAAAAGTAATAACAAGTTTTTTTTTAAATGGATGAAATATTTTGGTAATTTTGAGATTGAAAAAATGTTTTGCTTAGGCATTGGCGACGTTATATCAAATTAAAATTTAGCACAGCCAATGTCACTGCTTAGGTCGAATCATCAACCTTATGTTCTTCAGAGCAAAGTTGGATTTCTTCCAGTAGTACCAGACCACATACTTCCACCCCGTTTTCTCCCTGTTTGTATATTGTCCGTTGGGATTGGTATAGAAGCACGCCTTAAACCACCAGGCTGATTTCCAGTAGGTGGCGCAGTCGCCGCTGTCCTTGTCATTATCCTGGTCTTTCGTTGAAAACTTCATGCCACTGCTGTAAGTCATACTGTCTCCTGCAAAATGTAATGTAAAGAAACACTAATAAACTAACGGTTGCTTTATAAAAGTTTTTCTTTTAGTTTTACGAATTTAGACACATCTTTTTCTCACACAAGATTTGCTGTTAACAGTGTGCAACGCACCTGGAACAAGATGTGTTTGTAAACACTGATTCCCATGTATGGCAACATAGTGAAGGTTAAGGTTTCTCAAATGCAGATCAAATATGTTGGTATCTAAAGTAAAGCCTTTTCACAAGAAATGCAAATGTGAAATATAAAACCCTAAGTTAAGCTTTTAAAGGTAGGACACACTCCGGGGTCAAGGTCAAAGGGTCAAGGTTGTTGGTTTCAAAGCCTTGTCTCAAAGATTACTTATGGGAAGTATGTAAAAAATGTTCAAAAGTTATGGCCAAGGTTAGAGTTTTTAAAAAGTAGGTCAAACTCCAAGGTCAAGGCTAAAGGGTCAGAGATTTTGATATCCAATGAAAGGTTTTGTTACAAGGATTACATATCTGAAGTATGAAAGCATTAGCCCTTACTGTTCAAAAGTTATGACCAAGGTCAAAGTTTGTAAAAAGTAGGTCAAACTGCAAGGTCAAGGGGTATAAGTTGTTGATATCCAATGAAAGGTCTTGTCACAAGGATTACATATGTGAAGTATGAAAGCCCCAGCCCTTACCGTTCAAAAGTTATGGCCAAGTTTAAATTTGTTTTGTAAGTACGGAAAAGTTTAAGGTCAAGGTCAAAAGGTCAAAATTGTTGATTTTAAATGAAAGGTCTTGCCACGAAGAATTAATATTTGAAATTCCTAGGTTCTACCGTTTAAATTAGGGCCAAAGTAAGAGTATGGATTTTTTGTGTAAAAATGGGTAAAACTCCAAGGTCAAGGTCAAAGGGTCACGGTTTTTGATATCTAATGAAACATCTTGTCACGAGAATTAAATATGTGAAATATGAAAACCCTAGTTCTAACCCTTCAAAAATTATGTTAAGGTAGTCCGATCCTCAGGTTTATAAAATTAGCAGTTAAGCAATCAAAAATACTCAAGAAAGTATCTCTGAATCCACAAAGTTATGTTAATATATGCACAATATTTCTTTAAAGTTAAAGATTAAAGTTAATCATATTATATAGGGAAAATTGTCATATCTCCAATATTTTTGCAGGAAAAGCGAATTGGAATATCAGTGATGCATTTTCTAACTGCAAATTGATCAACAAATATATTTTAGGTTAAAAAACGATAGGTATCCAGGCATACAGAGGAATTGTCATAATTTTTATACTTATTTGGTATTTTTTGTCTTCTATTTCCGTCATGTATTCTATTATACATAATGTAAAAGGCTTCTGCTATCATTGCAAGGCACCACAAATCACTTCTCATTTCATATCATGCTAATAAGCATTGGTATCTAAGGCTTGATTCAAGAAAATCTTATTTCTCTAAAACTGTATTAATTTTTTTTCTATTTCTAGGGTACAAATGTCAACTTTTATTAGACCTTTTCTAAGACTTCCAAAGACCTTGAATCTTATAGAGATGAATATAATGAAAATTGTTGCATGAAAAAATTTCATTTTCAAGCTTCATTTTGATACATTTCAAATTAAATATTATTTTTTGGAGTTATCCTTCCTGGCTGAGGATCGGATATCCTTAAAGATTGTATTTGAAATGTAGGTCAAACTCAAATGTCAAGGTCAAAGAGTCAAAGTTCTTGGTATCCAATAAAGAGAATTTTCACAAGAATTATATATGTGATGTATGAAAGCCCTAACCCTTACCGTTCAAAAGTTATGGCCAAGGTTAAAGTTTTTTCATAAGTATGGAAATCCCCAAGGTCAAGGTCAAAAGGTCAAAGTTGTTGATACTGAAAGGTCTTGCCACAAAAAATAAATATATGATATATAAAAGTCCTGGTATCTACTGTTCAAAAGATAGGGCCAAAGTAAAAGTTTGGAATTTTCGTGTAAAAGTGGGTCAAACTCCAAGATCAAGGTCAAAAGGTCAAATTGGGTGGTACCCAAAGAAATGTCTTGTCATAAGAATACACATGTAAAATATGAAAGTCATAGCTCCACTAAATCAAAAGTTATAGGCAAGGTTAAAGTTTTTGCAGACAAACAGACAGAGAGACAGACGGACACGACAAATGCTATATACCACCGAAACTTCGTTTACGGGGACATAAAAATGAATACTGGATACATACCAGCATTCCCAGAGTATCCATTAACAGTCAGTTTATATTTGCTTGCCTCATCTCCAACAGAAAAGGTTGAGAAAACTGCGTATGCTTTGTCTCCATTAAATCTCTGCATATCGACTCGAAGTTCTTGAGATTTTCTGGTTGTAAGATTGTGTAATATTTCATTTCCTAAAAACATTTGATTAAAACAAAATTAATAGATAGATAAAAAAATATTATCTACTGCTTTGTGATATACATAATTATGTATATTTTAAAATACTGTATACATATCGAAATTGCTTCACAAAAGTAATAGGGCAATATATAATTAAACAAATATGCAAACACGCAAATTCAGTAGATTTAAGCTCCCTTATTCTAATTACCGGTATTAAAATCAAAGGTTTTGGGTAGGTCTATGAACGGAAACCAATCAAGAGCAATGCATGAACCCTATGTAATGAGTAATGAATGATACAATGCGTCCTTGCCTTCCAAACACTGATGTGACTCGGACTAAAGGAAAAGTCTATTGTCCTGTTTACCTCTGTTTAGATGCTATATAAAGCTCTGATTGGTAGAGTCATTCTTAAAAACGAAGTAAAAAGTTAGCGGTTTAGTGGAAGCCAGAAGAAAGAAGGTAACATTACATGGCTCTGATGAGTGCCGAGTAAAGGTCTAAATATGAAGGCCTTCGCCGGTATAACGGTGATGTTTCTTTATGAGTGAAAAATTCTCGAACTTGACATAAAACAACATAAAATCAATCAATCATTACCAATCCAATATTCATGACTCGCTTTTCCAAATCCTTTCTTGTATTCGGCCCAGTTACGATAGAAGTCGGTGGATCCATTAACTCGTCGCTGTATAACCTGTTGAAAGAAAATAACATATGCCCTTTTCAGTCTCTCTGCTAACTTTTAAATCGTTTAAATCTAGAGGTGCTGTGAGTAGTAAGATCACTAAATGATGCCCCCGCTTACATATGATTAAAATGACTAAGTCCATTTTTACTGTAGGAGATGTCAAATAAGATTCAGATGAAAAAGTGAAATAGGGGGTCACAATGGCATTATGTTATAAAGAATCTGTGAAAGTATTATTAGATTTTATTCAGTGGCATAGGTGAAGCTGCGTATAAAAGAGGGTGTCCTTCAATCTTAAAATGGAGGGTCAATAGAGAAAATAGCAGTGTCAAGGTTTTGCTATGGGAAACCCGAAATAGGTTTCCGATCAAAAAGTAAAATAGAAGATGTACAATGGCGCTATGTAACAAAGAACCTATGAAAGTCTCATTTAATTTCATTCAGTGGTACAAGAGGAATTGCGGATAAAAGCTGGGTACCACAAAGCGTAACACACGGACAGACGGATATCCCAATCACCCTCCCACTTTTAAAACGGGGGTATAATAAGTTTTTTGTGCACATCATGAAAGTACACATTTCTTGTTAGAAGTGCCAAACAAAATATACGTTAGAGAGAGAGAGAAGGAGAGAGACAGACAGACAGCTAGACAGACAGACAAACAGACAGACAAACCGTCCACCCTCCGTTATCCGTGGTCATGTCACAATACACAGCCTTCTTCTTATTTTGGGAAATGGTTATATTGTATACACCATTTTTGCCTTGAGTGCCTGGAAACTTCTTTAGTATATCAGAACAATCTTGCACTGTAATATTTTAGTTCGTATTTTATTTCATGCATATTACGTGAAAAATAATTTAAATATGTAAGTAAAAATGTGTCATCTTTCTGTCCTAGATAAATTTGAAAAGAATATAAAAGTTTACCTGTCATGGGTTCCATTACGGTATGTCGAGTGTTGTTGGAATTGTTTCTTTCACTTGCCTCAATACCTTTAGTTAGATTCTTTATATCGCTTGCTTCAATACCTCTAGTGAGATTCTCTAATCTGCTCACCAAATAATCCAGTGAGGCTATGGAGGAATCATTTGCTCTAAATGAACGCGTATTTTCTCTCAAAGATAACTGCCCATTCTTCAAATCTAACAAAAGACTTTTTATGTTTTCAAAATTCACAACTAACATTTCCGTCTTCAACTTTTCATTTTCAAATGACAAGGTTAAATTGGAAACAAATTCTCGGATTCGATGAAAATCGTCTATTCTTGTATTCAATGTCGAAAGTTTCTCAATCAGCTTATCTATCGAGTTTGTGTGGTTTTGCATTCCAAGCATCGAAACAGTCTTAAGGATCTCTTTTTGGAACATTTCCTGTGACCTTGTGAGGCTACTGATGTTCTCAAGGCCAAAACCCATGTCAGGTACATTGGATGAAATATTAAGATTCACTGGCTCATTACCAATGTCTAGTTTTCCAGGCAGACCATTGACGATTTCCATTAGTTTATCAATTGAGTCCCATTTGATTGTAGGACTTTGTTCCCTTTTACACGAGAGGTTAGTCTGAACAGCGACCAATTCTTCCCGCAAGTATTGCTGCCCTGTTTTTATATCCTGGATGCTTTGACTGACATTCCTAAGGAGACCGGCCATTATAACTGATTCTGATCTCTCTTTCCTGATTTCAATGGTAAGATTATCAAGAGATTCTACGATCTTGTCGACATTCTGGACTTTACCTTGGATGTTTTTGACAGAACCATGTATATCACGAATTGTCTGACTTCGATTATTTTGTTCCTGCACATCTGATGGAGACATGGTTTTAAGCATTTTAAGTATATCCTGTTGTTCTAAGATAGATTTGCTCAAATTTCTGACGATATCACTCTCTTTTTCCATCTTTTCCTTTCGAACTTTTTCAATCATTGAAGTCAATTTTTCTTCCATAACACGCTGGATTCCGTCAAATTTCTGCATAATCTTTGTCTCTATATTTCGAGTTATTTGCTGTATTTCTGATTTTAAGAATTGTGTCGCTAGCTTCTCGGCTTTCTGTTGTATAGTAGCCTCTTGATCATCTAACCACTGGCCGGACACTTGGTGTAAGGACAAAGTCCAGAAAACAACCGTAAAAACTGTCCTTTTTGAACACATTGTACCAAAATCAACCAGTTCCGTCCTTATCTAAACCAAACAAGATCGCTTTTGATAGTTTTTCGTGTGATTTTACAGCCTATTTATTATTAGTGACTATATCTTGGAGTAGATGTCCAAAGTCAACACTAGCTGGTAAGTAGTCTTAAAAATTACTTACACTCTTTTTGACACAACTATCCATTGACACAGTTACATTTTACCCTCTTTTCACATCCGATTTTGAAATAAAATCCGATAGGCGGCTTTGCTAACAGAGCATCTTCTTGGAACGCAATATGATTCACGGAAAGCAATGTCTCAAGTTTTGATTTAATTATTAAGTTTGCAAATGTTTAAATGATATTTTTTACTCTCTTTGACAATGATATGGTCATTTATTTTAGTTGTATGAATGAAATAGTTCCACATGTGACTTTGAAACCTTTTGAAAATGTTTGCTGTTATGTAGCAAATATTGTTTAAGATATTTTGATACTTATTGCAATGTACAACTACTAGTCATGGATTAAAAATATTTACTACATGCTATTGATTAAAAAAATTACATGTATAGTTATTTATTTCAGTGTTCTCTCTTATGTGAAATGACAAAGAAAGGTCTACTTGTAAAAATAGAATAAACAGTAAGCTCAGAAAGAAGATGTAGCAATTCTATCTTTCGTGACAGTAATACAAAGATTAAAAATTGATTCCATATAAAGTTTTTTTATCTTCCCAAAAGCTCTCAATTATTCTTAATTCTATCCGAAATCCATCGACCAGATTTCTTTTAAACGAATCCTGAAAATGGTGGCAAAAGTAACCAGGTCATAAAGAATGAACGGGTACTGAGGTGTACCTGTTCAAATACAAATGTAATTAAGTTCTAGTCTTGCCGATTTTTTAAACCCTGTTAGTCATGATAGCAAAATTTCGAAATGACATAAAAATTAACAGTTAAAATTAAAATAGTAAACTTCAAACTGATTATTTTTCAGGAAAATGGACATTAAAAAATAATTATTTGTAAATCATTAAGTTTGGAGAATGCCATGATAAAACCCAAGCAATGAGGAAAACACCATTCCTCTAGAATGTATACTTTTAAATTGTTTTATTTGTACAGTATATGTAAATAAGCATCACACTGAATTACTCGCGGTGTAAATAAGATGTCGTTTAGAGTCCGCACTTCACTGGAAGAGTGGTATCTAAGTACATGTATTACACACTTAGCCTTTAATTTATTTTTACATAATTTTGTTAAAGAATACGTAATCTTCAACTATAAAAATAACGATAAAAAGTATCCGTTCAAATGCAGGCTGATGTCTTCTCTTGACATTTTTTTTTTGTTGTTTTGATGTAACATTTTCTTACTCTCATCTCCTCATATACCAGGTAGGATTCTTCTCTGGTTTCTGAGTAGATGAAATATTCAATGTATATTTGCTTATATGCC